AAATTCATCCAATACAAGTTAAGTAAAATTGAATTCTAATCTTTCTTGTTACATACAGTAGATAAGGATTTCGGCACTTGCCATCATGCCATCTTATTCAAATTGTTTGTGTACAAACATTATTTTTGTTATATTCTAAAGTTTCAGTATTGCTAAAGAAACAAAGTCAGAGTGGATTTTTTTAGAATTATTAAAGACTTTATGATTGAGAATTATGGGTTAGCAGTGCCCTATATAATCTTTTTAGAAATCTCGGAGTCACCCAAATCCAAAAGTTCCCAGGTACGGCCCATAAAGTTTGTAGTAACTGCCTTATTGTTCGTAGTGTTGGTAATTATTTGAAAGTTGAATTAATCTTTTTATTTATTCAAAACACATTTTTGTGATTGGAAAGTGGTGTGCATTGATTTCAGATTGAAAATGGCTATTTAAATGTTAATTTAACTTAATTTTTATTCTCATATTTGCAACTGTTAACTGACCTTTGTAGTTGGCAACAAGAACGATGACCCTGACAATAAGGTTGTGTTAAAAGAAGATGCTCAGAGGTTTACAGACCACATGGGAATCATGCTGTTTGAAACAAGTGCTAAGGACAATATCAATGTTGAAGAAGTAAGGACTTGAATTGTACCGAGAGTTGAACATTATAAACAAGTTCACATCTAGTCTATGTGTGAAAAAAAAAAATTTTGAATTATCAACTTATTAGCTTCGGACTGATTTTATGAGTATTTTCTTACCGAAAACGTTTTCATGATGTTTTCAAAGTACAAAATTTATTTACATAGTAAAAGTTCATATTATAATGAACACAATTGATAAAAATAAGTAACTCTTGCATCCAAAATGTACTATAATTTTGCATAATTTCTTTTTAACGTGCAGTTGATATTCTTCATTATTAAACTAATACGTAATAAAATTATATTATCAGAAAACCTAAACATTTGAAATGAAAACTTTGATTTTCAAATTACTCTTGTGTGAATACATTTTGTGCTGATGTTTAGCAATGAAATTTAAAAAATGTCTAGTTATGATGTTAATTATATTAATCATGAGAAGTTTCCTGTGTTGTGTAACATTATTGTACCTTGAAGGATTATAAATAAACATTTGACTAAAATTTTAATAGGTACACTACTGTTATTTATTGAATATATTGTGTAAAAGTAAAATAAAGATATTGTAGGCCTATAATAAATTTTTGACTCTTATTGTATTCCTGAGTCACTGCTAATGTTGTAAAGCTTGTTTTCAGGTCTAGAATTATCAAAAAAGTCACAGATCAGGTACCAGATGTACATCACAACACTTGTCAGTATGTCAAGTCACAGACCAGGTACAAAATGTACATCACAACACTTGTCAGTATGTCAAGTCACAGACCAGGTACAAAATGTACATCACAACACTTGTCAGTATGTCAAGTCACAAACCAGGTACAAAATGTACATCACAACACTTGTCAGTATGTCAAGTCAGACCAGGTACAAAATGTACATCACAACACTTGTCAGTATGTCAAGTCACAGACCAGGTACAATATGCCATTCAAATTAGTGAATTCTCATTTGATGTTTCAGATGTTCAATGCCATCACGAAGATGGTTTTAAAGACAAAAAAAGAACAGAAAGAACGTCAACAGCAGAATAAAGAAACTACTGTTAAACTTCAACGAGGAACACAACGAGGGAAGAAAAAATGTTGTTAATAATATTTTATTAAAGGTGAGTATTGAAGAAAACGTGCCTTACGGGTACTAAGATAATTTTATCTTTCATTTCAGAAATAGTGATGGAGTCTTTGGACCCCATCAGCTTTTTAAACAATTTTTCTACATTATTTTAGCACCAAATTGCTTATGGGTTCATGACTTTTTGAGTTTCGGAGGTTCCTACTATGATATAAGTAGCACAAAATAATTTTAAAAATACCATCAATATTGCATTAAACCCCATTAATTATTGCTGGGGCTTGCTACGTAATTTATAATGAATAATTTTACCCTATTTTTTTTGGTCAGATATTTACATTTAATGTTGTAACAGACATAAATAAAAAGTTATTAGGTGTAACGTAATACATGGTTCCCACTGATAGTGAACAGAACAAATGATGAGTAGTTGCCGAGCAGAAGGTAACCAAAGAGCTTAGTTGTATGAGTGATGTTTTAATTACAAAGTAATGCTTTTAAGATTTTTTTAAAACATTTGATGGACTGGACAAAATTATGTCAGAACTACATAACTTTAATTTTTTTTTACAAAACCTTTCTACTGATTTAGTTATTATGATATAGCTCATTGTGATGTCAGATGATTAATAGGATTAAAAATGTCCATTTGATGTCAAGTGATTAACAGGATTAAAAATGTGTGTTTGATGTCAAGTGATTAACAGGATTTAAAATGTCCGTTTGATGTCAAATGATTAACGGGATTAAAAATGTGCATACGATGTCAAATGAGTAACAGGATTAAAAATGTGCATTTGATGTCAAATGATTAACAGGATTAAAAATGTGCATTTGATGTCAAATGATTAATGGGATTAAAAATGTCCATTTGATGTCAAGTGATTAACGGGATTAAAAATGTCCATTTGATGTCAAGTGATTAACGGGATTAAAAA